GCTGGGGCAAACATTTATCCCTGCCTTAAAATAGGGCGGAGGATGGGGCAACATACACCCGCCCCGTCCCCGCATAAAAAAAAAATATATATATATATATATAATAGAGTAAATCTTTTCTACACTGACGGTATATACACTATCATCGTTGGATTCATGACATGTGTGCAAAAGTTAAATTTTAAATTTAAATTTTGCATAATTATCAATCATCCAACGCTGATAGTGTATACACTGTTAGTGTAGGAAAGATTAATCCTATAAAATATACACAAAAGTAACAAAATCCCTTATTAGTTATTATCTATCCCCCTCAGCTCCTCCTTCATTCCTTCCTTCGCAGCCACTGCCGTCGCCTCCCATTCCCCTCAGTTCTAATCACTACTCAACTAAACCCATCCTCTCTGTCTAAATCCTCCTAAAATTTTACCCAACCCATAAATCCTCCTAAAATTTTACCCAACCCAGAATCCCAGATCGAGCTGGTATCTTCGTCGGCAAGTGATCGGAGGCAAATCTTCATCTTTTTCTTGCTGATGTCTTCGTCTTTGTTTTCCTTGTGCGCTTAAATTGTTTGATAATTAGGAAGGAACGGATCTGTCTTTGTTGCTGGTTGAACGAATAGTTATTTGATTAGCAAACTTAGGATACTGATAAGTGCCTAAATTAATAGGAAACTTTATACCGAGAAGAATTTGCAGCTTGATTTCATGGTGTTAAATGAATTGTGTGCCAGTGCCACATATATTATGCAAATCGAAGAGTGTCTTGTCACGCATGAGTCAAAGTGAAAATTTTTCAAAAAAGCCTAATAATTACGCAAAATACTAGAAAAATATCAATTTATTTCAAGCTATTCAAAGAATTAAAAAATGAAACTGTTTTTTTTTTTTCACCAACTCTTCTCTCATTTTACGAATATAGCGTGAAAGGAAAATGGAATATTGGATGCCAAAGCTGAAGAAATTATTGCTCTCTAAGTTAACAATTCGACATGATCCAAAAAACAATAAGTAAGCTAGTAACATTAAAAGAGTATATCTATAAGAGAATTCTGCTGTAATACAATCAAGCCTAAATACAATTTATGGGGCTTAAACCATGTAGCGTGATCATATGGGATAAAGTTGTTTTCTTTCTGGATAGTGATATGTGGTTAATTTGTTTTCCTTGTGCATATAAGATGTTTGTGAAAAACCCTTAATGAAAATGTAAATACGAGAGCCTAATGGAACAAGAATTCTTTCCATGTCCTATGATATCGTTTATAAGCAGTTCCAACAATCATGGCTTTGTTTTTCTCTTCATTTTATCTTTCCTTGCGGGGGACCGCGGGAGAAACGGGGCGGGGGCGGGGTGGGGGACGGGGGGAGTTATTTGACAACGGGGCGGGGGACGGGGGAAGGATCCCCCGCCCCATTGCCAACCCTACCTCTGAACATACAGAATTTAAACTTTGATGTGCTCACATTGAATCAGCAAGTTCAGTGAAAAATTATGCCTTTTAGTTTCTTTTTATTTAAAATCTCTATATCTAATAATAATTATCAAATATAAGTAGAATTTACCTATTAATGTAACATTTAGCTAAAAATAAGGGGAAAAATTCATAAATTAAATGACAAAAATGGAATCTATCATTGCAATTGAACCAAGTAGAATTTTCCATCTTACAACTTAATGCTAATAGTTCTTGATCTAAGCAGTGATTGACTTTTTTTCTTTTAATGCAAGAAAACGAAATATCATGACAAACATACATCGAATTTTGAAAACTTCTTATTAATTTTAATTTAAGTTAAATTTTCTTTTAAGTTTTGTTTTCCATTCTTATTTCCTTCAAAAAAATTCATAATCCAAACAAAGGAATTATTTTCTTTGAAATTTCCTTAGTACTTTCCTTTATTAATCAAACAGGAGAAAGTATTAGGATTTTCAAAGAAATTCACTTTCCATTTTCCACTTCCTTTCCTCACTGGTTTCCGAGACCCAAACAGGGCCTTTAAGGTAAAATGCTTTCAATTATTTTCAGCCTCAAGTTTGTCAAAAAGGTGCTAAAATGGGTCTTCTTGTTCCCGCTTTTGACTATGAGCAAATTATCTACATGATTACTAAATTTTTGGAATCGTCAAATTTTTGCCACTGAATTATCTAAAATTTAGATTTTGAGTCATTTTGTCAGATTTAATCATTAACTATGCCCTTTTCTTTTGTCTCATGAATCGTAAGAGTACTCAAATCTATCATGTTTAACGATTAAATCTAATGAAATGACAAGAAATTTAAACTTTAGATAGTTTAGTAGTCAAAATCAGATTTTTAATAATTTAATGGTCAAAATTCAATGATTTCAAAAATTTGATGACAATCCAAATAATTTGCTCTTTGACTAATTGAATGTGTCCTCTTTCATCACATTGGGCCTGTTTGAAACATGAGTTTTTTGATAGTTTATCTAAAATTTTACTGTAATACACTGTAGAAATTTTTGGAAAAATTTTTTAAGATGAAAAACTTTTTTTCCTTTTCTTTTTTTTCTTTCTTTTTCTCTTTCTTTTTCTTTTTCTTTCTTTCCTTTTTCTTTTCTTTCCTCTTTTCTTTTCCTTTTTCTTCCTTCCCCTCCCCATTCCCTTCCCTTTCCCGTCACCTCTGTCTCGCCATTGAAGAACCAGCAGATGGTCACCATTTTTTTTCCTTTTCTTTCTCTTTCTTTCCTTTCTCTTTTCTTTCCTCTCTTCTTCTTCTTCTTCTTTCTTCCCCCTTCCCCGCCACCTCTACCCCCTGCTTTAAAGAACTAGCACCTCTGCCCCTTTTTTTCTCTCTCCCGACACCTCTCCCTTCTCTCTCCCTCGGCACCTCTGCCCTCTCTTCCCTCTCCCTCTCTGCCCCTCTTTTTCTCTTTCTCGGCACCTTTCACTTTCCCTTCCCCTGCACCTCTGCCCTCTCCTCCCCCTCCCTCTCTGCAGCCATGGAATTTTTTTTTTTTTGCTTTTTGCCTCTCCTTCTCCTCCCTCCTCCCTTAGCGCGACCAGATCGCAACCCCCTCCCTCTTCCCCTTTGCGATCTGGTCGCGCGACCAGATCGCAGCTAGTGGGAGGGGGAAGGTGGCGGGGAAGGCAGAGGGGAAGAGGGGAGGGGGGAGGGAGAAAGAAAAAAAAAAGAAGCACCAACAAATCGGTCACGCGAGGGGAAGAGAAGAGGGGGTGAGGGAGAGGGAGAGAAAAAAAAAAGAGGAAGGCCGGCACTAGCTACCGGAATAGTGACCGGTGCCGGAAGCGGTGGTGGCCGGCGACGAAGGACGTGGTGGGTTGGGTGGGGAGGAAAAAGAAGAAAAGTTGAAGGAAAAATTTTTTGTGTATTAGATTTAAAGTGTGTAGGTTAAAAACTTTGATAAGTTTTTTGGAGTTTCGTAGTAAAAGTTATTAAAAAACTAGTAACAAATAAACTTGTAAAAAACTTGAGATTCCAAACAGGCCCATTGTTTGATTGCAGGTGAACTCTAAGTAGGGTTGTCAACGGTCCTGATATGGACCTGGACAAGGCCCGGACCCATCATCAATTGCACGGTTAGAGATATAGACCCGCGACCTGGACCCATTTTGTCTAATAAATTTGCGGGTCGGATATGAAATATATCATTCCGACCTGTATCCAACCCGGACCCGTTTTAATTAATTAATAATTAAAAATTATACCTATCTATCATAATTAGGATTAATATCAGAAACCTCCCCTGAGGTTTCTTCTAATCACATCTAGTACCCCCCATGTTTTTGAAATCACACTTAGCACCCCTGACAGTAGGATGTGACAGGTTGTCCTAATCAAAATGTGAGAAATTACCCAAAAACCACCAACACCAGGCAATTTTTTAAGCGGGGAAATGCTGGAAAACCAATGCTGCTGTAAACAAGCAAGGTATAATTCCCTTTGTACCAAATGCTCAAGCTACTCTAAATGGTGGATCTCAAGCCGAAACTTCTGTTAGCATTAATACTGCTGCAATAGTGGCCTCTAACACTATTACCAGCAGTTTCTCTATGATGTTTTGAGAGTGCTAAAGGTTCCCCGCAATCCTTGCTTTTGGTATCTGAAGTAGTTTAGGTACTAGTCTTCTTAGCTCCCAGCAATACTGAAGCAATGTTAGCTTTTGTGGACAATTTTTTGGTAAGTAGTGCAATGTGCATCTGATTTATATTTCCTGCCACTTATGGTGCTGTTTGACTAATCTTAGAACTACTTGTGTATAGTTTTGTGCATTGCAATCCTCACCATCTAAACAACTAGTTGTAGATGGTGTTTTTGTTCAGAATTGGATTGCAATATAAGGCTTACGTATCATGTTACTAGACTGATCCAATGTAGTATCATGGACTATGTAATTAGTGGAGAAGGGGCAGGGACGGTTACTGCTGTTAAAGGTAGTATAATTACTCGCTGTTGTTCTAGTGTTACAACGTGTACAAATGATGTTACACCGTGTGGGACGGTTACTGCTGTTAAAGGTAGTATAATTACTCGCTGTTGTTTTAGTGTTACAACGTGTACAAATGATGTTATACCGTGTGCAAAATGCACACAAGCTTCCGCAGTGCAACTGTTCCGGCCCCAGGTCCATAATTAGTTATGCATCTCTATATCGCCAAAATCTCTGATAATTAGTTATAACATTCTTTTTATTACACTTTTACACCCTCAGCTTCTAAATTAATATCATATGCCTATTTATTTCTATTTTTATCTTCTAAAATTCACTAATCATTTTGGGCTTTGGGTAAAAGTGGAACAAAAATAAAGTCTCTCTCCTACAATTCATTTTTTACTACCATTTTCAAATAGAGGGGCTGACAAGATACCAAAGTTGTCATTCCAGGGGTGCTAAGTGTGATTTCAAAAACATGGAGGGTGCTAGATGTGATTAGAAGAAACCTCAAGGGAGGTTTCTGATATTAACCCTCATAATTATTCATATCAGTAATGTATTCAGTATTCCCAAAATTTTCAAACCGTAAAACCCACTCCCCACCGCCGCACTGCCCGCACCGCACATCCCTTCTGGCTTCTTCCCCTCAGTCCCTCACTCCTTGCCTCCCGCCGCCTCCGCCAGACGCCGGTGAAGTGACCAGTCCACGTGAAACCGGCGACGCTGTCTGACTCTCTCCATCTCCAGCTCCAAAGAAACCGCCGGATCTGGCCAGCTCCAAGGAAGCCCAGCTCTTGCAGTCTCACTCTCTCCTCTTTTCCGGTGAACAATTCAAGAAGACCGCGACCCACAAACATTTTCCTCTCCGTAGTCCGCACTAGGTATGTGCTTCCTATATTTTCACTTTGTTGAGGAATATTATGTCAACCGTTGAATCTCGCAGTCCTTTGTCTCTTTTCTGTTCTGGGTTCTTGTGGAAATGGACAATGAGAAAAAGATTTTTAGTTTTCCTGATTAATTAAAACATTTCAGGATCAGAGTCACGCATTCTTCTAAAATGTTTCATGATTCAGTTTTGTACTTGTCCAAATTTCTATTATCCCGTGTTTCCTCTAGTAGCCAATCTTATAATATTTGCACAATTCATGTCAGAACCTTTAACTCAGCCCCATTTGAAAAACGCCCCACACTGGTGTATTTCCAAGGTGCAATCTACAGGAAAGCTGTAAGTCTTTGCTCTTATTTTCATTTGGTTCTTCTATCCTAGAATTGTTTAATCTTTACACATTGTCTGTAATATTGATCTTGTGTTGCAGCCCGTGAGTTGGAGCCTCTTGGGTTCCCCGTTTTGTTGTTATTATTCCTACAATCTGTGTGATGTGATCCTAACTTTAGGGAATGTTTTGGGGCTGAAATGTGGTAATTGAAAAGGTCCTCTGAGGTTTTCACTCAGTCAGCATTGCGCATTTTGAAGTCCTCCAGCTTTATGTACCCATATGACTTAAAATGGAAGGCTTGCAAATTGCTGCTGTTATGCGTGCAACTTATTCTTTTCACAAAGAAAAAATTGCTGAGTTTTATAGGAACCTTCAAATGGAAAATGCATTGGCTTTAGAATGGCTATTGTGTGTGGTTTGTGATTTAGATTTGTAATTTGTGATTGGTTTTGAATAAGTTTGTAATTTAGTGTAAAACATATTTTATTCGTAATTTTCGGCAAGAAAAGTTTGATTCTGCTTCTTTGGCAAATTAACGAACTTCCGTGATTTCGCAAAGGCTTGCACAGTCCGCAAAATGTGATAAAAATCAGACTGCAAAGTTGTAGCATGAACAGGTTTTCTCTAAGCATAATTTTATCAACTGCTGCTCTTTTTTTTATTTATTTTTTTGAGCAATCAACGGCTGCTTTTTGAACCTTATCGATATTCTCATCAACTTTGTACTAAATTTATACTAACTTTATTCTCATCAACTTTATGCTAACATGCTCACATGCTACGGAAAACACCTAACAGTTTGAACACGTCATTTTCTAAATTTGTTTTTTGAAGATGAATTCTTAGGCCTCATTTTTCAAATTTATCTCAAATTCAACAATTCAATTCAGAGGGGTGGCTGCTACAGATAATAGCATATACATTACATTTTTCTTTTTTTTTTTTTTGGGCTTGATAGAGGAAAAGAATGCAAGTAGGGACAAAAATTTTTAGTATATTTATTTTTTTTAACTTCCTTTTCAACTGCATCTTCAGAGGAAAAGAATACAAGCTCTGGTTTTGAAACTGACGTTTTGAAATGAGTTCTGTATTCGAACGCATAAAGTTCCTAACAAAAAAATTCAATGCTGGTGCTGGACCTGCTGGTTCTTCAAGCCTGGATCGCCTTGGTTCTTCAAGCTTGGATCGCCTTGATTCTGCACTGAAAGGCATAAAGTGTTACTCGGAGATCCTATCAAAAGTCAAAGAGGATTGGAAATTTTTGAGAAAACTTTGGGAATCAGCTCATAAGGGGAGTGATGCTGCTACAGATGAGGAGAAGAAGAATGCGCACATGAGCCTCAAGATTGAAGCTACAGCGGAGGAGATTTCCCTGGAACTTATTCGTTTCCGTGAAGAAAAGCAGGTAAAAGATGAAGAATTCCTAAACGAATTAGCCATTGATTGTAGAACAAAAACCGGGCGCTTGATTGCTGAAGTTGAAGAAGCTCTTGACCATTTGTACTTGATGTGGTCAAGAGGCGGAGGCAGCAGCTCATTCCGACTCCAACTCCATTCTCTTCCTCCTTTTGATGTCTACTTTCGCAAGGATTTACTAGGATATGTACAATCAACTGTGTCTCAACTCGAGGTGATGACAGCTATTGATTGGCGCTATATCAACTTAAGTAAAAATACCCATTACCTTTCCTTGTCCGGGAGTGTTCGTTACCTTGATTCATTAGGAACAACAACAGATGAAGTACTACAATATGTTCATGATAGTGGACTGCCTAGTTTAGATGCTTGCGTTGGCCATGTTTTATCCCTGGCCCTACGAATTGCAAACCGGTGTCGTGATTACTGGTCAAATTACAAGGCAGGCAGAGTTGAACCGCGGAGCAGGGAACTGTTTGCATTCCTGGTGAATTTGGGCAGTGAAACTCATCCCAGTAATCCCAAATTCGTTGGTTTCCTTCTCAATTTCCTTTTCGCTCTCAGCTGTACTGGGAAGGTTGTGATTCAGCATTTGGTGTGGGGGTTTTGCCAGTATCTCTTCTTGGGTGAATATGGACATTTTCAAGACGAGGTGGCTCCCGTATTAGGGCTTTTGCTCTACAGCACTTCTATACTAGATGATGAGGACACAGCATGGAGTTTCATTCCAGAATTTCAGGCAGTGCTAGTAGAGATGGCATCTCTACTTGAGTCAACTGGTCGTGATGAGAAAAAACTAGACAACTCACCTCAGTATTCTGAGTTACTTACAAAAATTTGTCTTCTCAAGGCGGAGCTTTTCCTTGTGGTGCAAATCCATGCCATGAAAAGCAATACAAACACTTCTTCCCCTTCCCCCGGTATGCTTTCCTGTTTTGAATATATCATGGACATCCGTAGACAATTTCCCAAAACACTGCAAAGATATTCCAAGAAGTGGCGTCCAAAAACGAGATTAGACAGGGAAAAGTCGTTGGCACTGATTGAATCAACATTCAGGGAGGAAAAATCTCTTTATAAGTCATATAGGCTCAAGGAAATCACAGCATCCGTGGCAAAAAACTCACTCCTGCGACTTCATTTTAAGATTGTGATTTTCAAGGGAGGGTCATTTCTGACGGAGCTATTACTTCTGAAAAGCAGGAATGATGAAAGGCTTATGGCTTGTGGGAAAGATCAAATTAAAGTCCACTTTCAGAAGCTTGAGTATATCACACTAATTCTCTCAGATGAGAGAGTTAAGGACAGCGAGGACATCTTAGGAACAATTGGAGAATCTTTTAGGAGGCTGACAAGTTTCTCTTACTATTTCCTTGACACACAAGATGAAATGATCAACCTTTCATTTTCTGAGCTGTTAGAAAGGGTAACGCATTTGATCAAGGCAAAGCTCACAGATATTATTCCTCAATTTCCAATGTTTAATTTCCCAAAGATTTCCAATATGGAGTTCCTTGATTTTCTTCGGAGAAGGCTTGGGGAAGTTCTGAGATATGAGCGTGCCTTAACTGCACCAGTGAAGCACCACATTGAAGGGATTCAATTACATCTCAAGTCATTGAGGTCTTTTCACAAAAATGTTTCAGAGTTGGACATTGAGAAGCCTCCAGAGCTAGAAGATCTCGTCGATCGAGTCACTGATTCGGCTTATAAAGTGGAGTACGTTGTTGATTTAATTGAGGTTGATGCTCAATCGCTGGATTTCTTCTGGTTGGTTGCCGTGGAGGAGGAGTTAAGACTTCTTAGAGAGAGAGCCAGGGGACTTCATTTGACAACCCCTGATGCGGAAGTCCAAGATTCCAAGAATGTCACCCAGGTTTCAGTTGACAAGTTATCAACAAAAAATACATCAGCAATTGATGAAATTGTGGTGGATCTCTGTAACAGAGAAAATGAAATTCTCAACCAGCTGACTAGAGGATCCTCAAAGCTGGATATTGTTTTTATTGCTGGAATGCCTGGTTTAGGCAAGACAACGTTCGCGAGGAAGGTGTACAGCAGTCTTGAAGTCATGCGTCACTTTCATCTTCGTGCATGGTGCTCTGTTTCCCAAGAATACGAGAAAAGGAGATTGTTGCTCGAAATTCTAACAGGGATTCATGGGCTTACGGAAGAGATTCGCCAAATGAGGGATGAAGATCTCGAAGATAAATTGCGTAAATTGTTACTGAAAAACAAGTATCTCATAGTTATAGATGACATATGGGGTGTTGGAGCCTGGAATGACTTGAAAAACTCATTCCCAGATGATGCAAATGGAAGTCGAATTCTGTTCACCAGTCGCCTCCACAGAGTGGCCTCGGAAATTAAACCAGACAGTCCTCCTCTTCCTCTTGGCCTTTTTTCTCAGGAAGAAAGTTGGCAGCTGTTAGAAAAGAAGGTATTCAAGGAAGAATGTTGCCCCAATGAGCTGCTGGGAGTCGGAAAGGAAATTGCTTACCACTGTCAAGGATTGCCTCTTGCTGTTGTTGCGGTTGCTGGTATACTGAAAATGACAGAAAAATGCCAAAATTCATGGAAAACAATCGCAGATAACTTGAGCTCACAAATAATTGATAATCCCGAAGCTCAGTGCAAAGAAGTCTTAAATCTCAGCTACAAACATTTGCCGGAGTATCTTAAATCATGCTTTCTATATTTGGGAGTTCTTAATGAAGACAGAGATATTCTTGTCAGCAAGTTGATACAGTTTTGGATCGCAGAAGGTTTCATACCAGAATCTAATAAGGGCTTTGAAGATGTGGCCGAGGCTTTCTTGATGGATCTAATTGACAGAAGCTTGGTGATAATCTCCAAAAGAAGATCCAACGGCAAAGTTAGAGCATGTCGCCTCCACGATCTTGTCCTTGATTTCTGTAAGTCTAAAACCGAGGATGAGAACTTCTTTCAGCTGATAACCAGGTCTGATAATCCATATGCTTCTTTTCCTATTACAGATTATGGTTTTGAATTTGATTTTTACCGTCATTCATCTCCCGTGTCATTTGCATCCTATCGGTTGGCTATATCTTTGAAGAGAAACCACTTTGTTGAATCAAAACCTTCTGGCTTGGCCACCCGTTCTTTGGTTTTCTTTGCTTCTACAGATTCAGAACCCAAACGCCCTTATGACATCTCATTCATTTGTCACAACTTTAAATTGCTTAGAGTATTGGATTTTGAATGCTTCAATTTGGGAATTTCATTTCCTGTAGAAATTGGAAATCTGGTAAAATTGAGGTATTTAGCAGTTGGAGGCTATTTGAAATCCATTCCACAATCGATAGCCAACCTCAGGAAACTGAAAACTCTTATCGTGAAGGGATTAAGTGGTAAGATCACCTTACCAAATACCATCTGGCGCATCACAAGTTTAAGGCATCTTCATGTAAGTGTCCATGTTGCTTTCGACTCAGATGCTGAAGAGCTTGGTGATAGCTCTATATTAGAAAATTTGGTCAGTTTTTCCTGCCCATCTCTTTCTTGTGGTGAAGATGCAGAAAGGATAATAAAGAGGCTTCCAAATCTTTGCAAGCTGAGTTGCATATTCTATGAATCACCAGATTCTTCCACGAACAGCAATCATTTTCCGAGATTGAACTGTCTCACTCATTTGGAGTCACTCAAGATATTCTACTATGGAAGCCCTCTTAACAATGGCGAGTTCAGCCTCCCTTTGAATCTAAAGAAATTGACTTTATCAAACTTTCGCCTTCCATGGAGTCATATCTCCATGATTGGGAGACTACCAAACCTGGAAGTCCTCAAGTTACGTTGTGGTGCCTTTGAGGGAAAAATATGGGACGTTGAAGAAGAGTTTCAGAATCTTAAGTTCTTGAGCTTAGACAATTTGAACATTGCTCAATGGAATGCATCTTGTGATGATTTTTCCAAGCTTGAAAGACTCATCTTACAAAATTGCAAAGACCTTGAAGAGATTCCAGAGGATTTTGCAAACATATATACATTGGAGATGATTGAAGTGCATTGGTGTGGTGAATCTGCAGAAAAATCAGCAATTAAGATTGGAGAAGAAACTGGTGATATCAAAGTCCTTATCAGGAGTTCAAATTTGAGTTCATGAGCACGATTTGGATCACGTTACTTATTCTTCCACCGTCTTGTAAGTCTTTTTAATGAATTCCAGCTACTTATGAATTCCACCATTCTTTCTTGAGATGATATCTCTTGTATTTCTATTTGCTTCAAGAACTGATGAAGCTACTTAATCTGCTGTTTCATAAATTGCTGTCCTCTTCAAACTCATTGCGCGTTGTTGTCTTAATTCTAGTACTAACTTGGATTTAAACTCATTAGTACTGTTAATTGCTAATTTTGCAATGGACCACTCGTAGCTTCTTAAGCTAGGATTTTGATTTGGTAAATCATGTTTGAACTTGACCCTGAAAGCATTTACTTTGCCTTAGATATTTTGGGGAATTGGTGCTCAAAGGAATGGAGGTTCAGGTCTACAACTAGAGAACTTTGGAGGGTCTCGTTCACCATAAGCAAGAAGTTGATGCCAAGCTTTGCCTCTCATCGGAACCTTCTAATGTTGAACTAATGTAGCAATCTGACCCTGAATGCTAACTAGCATTTTGCCATTGCCTCCAGTTATTGAGCTTTACCTACTTGTTATATCGTACAGTGAGTATTTTATGCATTATCAATGCTTGTTTGATGAAGTCGGAATGCAATTGCTTGTTATTGTCAAAGACCAACTTTCTTCACCCTTCATTTTGTGTTTGGATATGCTCATGGAATATTGAGGAATTTGTTGACATGTTTGGTGGATTTTTTGGATTGGATAATGTGTATTGAGACAAATGGCCTTGAAATCCTTGCTTATACATAAGAAGCATTTTCCGTTTCTACAATAGAGCGATTTTCAAGCGCAACCTGCTTAAGTGGCTTGTACTTTCGGGTGCTTCTCCTTGTGCTGCGAGCCCGCGAATTCTGTGTATTTCCGTACGAAATTGTGTATCCGGCAGCAAAATCCTTCGAAATTGGATACAGGAAATTCTTGATTAATTATCAAAGTTCGTAATTACTATTGTGTTGAGATTTAATATCAGTTAATAAATTACTAATAATGGTTACTAAACTTATTAGTAATATTACTAATAACATTATTATTATTATTATTATTATTATTACTAAAATTAATACAAATAATTATTACTAATAATTTCTAATAAAAAATTATTACTATATTATTACTAATAATAATATTTTATTAGTACATTATTACTAACATTATTACTATATTATAATATTATTAGTACATTATTAGCTCATTGTTACTATATTAGTATTACATTAATAATAACATTAGTAATAATCCTAATAGTAATAGTAATAACAATACCAGTAATATTACTAAACATCATAATAGTAATAATATTACTTTAAAAAATTAAAACTACTAAAAATATTAATACCAAAAAAATTGAAAAAAATGCAATATTAGTACTAAAAAAATAAAGAAATTGATGTTACTAATATTAATGAAAAAAATAACATTGATTTTTCCGCTCTTTCAAGTACAACCAATGAAAAAAAATAATACTAAAAAACACCGTTGTAATTAAATGAATGCCACTATAAAAGTTACCACTATAATTTTAAAAACTACTCGCCTGTTAAAAGTTACCACTAAACTAACTATCTAATATTTAAAAACATCGACCTGGCGCCAGCACATTGTTCGGGATATTCCCTTAGTTAGAATACACAAATAGGTCAATACCAGTGCCCTCAATGTAGTAATGTCCAAGTTTGCCAGAGTAACGAGGGAATATTACTTTTGATATGAGGCCTAATTCTTGGTCCAATATTTGGCCCAACACATTCTGATTCCAAATATTAATCGAATTTGATATTAAACCCAAAAGGTATTTAATGATGCAACAAAAACTGTCAAAAATTTTCCAAAAAAAATTATCATGAAATTCAAAATTCAAATTTAGTAAATTATTGATTTCCCATTTCCCAACGAATTCTCATTTCCAGGAATGCTTCTGGGGGATGGCATTTTTAGCTTCGAGGAGAAGATGACGAGGGCATATACTTGGGACAGTAATAGTGATCTCTTGCGATTTTGATGGCCAGGATTTGGGGTTCTGTGAAAAGAATTAAGCAAATTAAGAAGAACACAAAGAAATAATTAAGAAAAACTTCACTAGTTACAAGTACTAGAATTGAAGTTGTACCTTGAGAACAATCGACTACAAAGCTTTATCTTGATCCTTAATCGACTATTAACTTACACTAGACTTAGGAAAGGAAATTGCTAACTAAAAGGCTATCACTAAAGCACGAGAAAACAAAATTAAATTGTTGTTTTCATCGGAAAAATTCATGGTCTCTCTCTTGTGACTGCCTTTTCACTTCTATAACTGTGATCCTCAAAATTTTCTTCTAATATTTTTTTATGAAAACCTTCCTCTAATTTATCAAACTTCTTGAGTTAGCCAATTCATGACTTCCTACTTATCCCCCAAAAAAAAAAAAAAAGCCAATTCATGACTCTCTCTTTTAATCTCGACCTGCTTATCGATCGTCTATCAGACTTTGTTATTTCTTTGGGCCTGTTGTTTGAATATGATTATTTTAGGGCCCAACAAATAATTTTGCTCAACATGCTTAAAATAGCAACATGCGTAACTTCTGTGGCTTAGCAGCCATACATACCAATCTTTTATAATACATTGCTTAGACTTGTAGAATGCTTACCAAATTTGTAGAATAACTTTGACTCATTTCAGCAAAGCTTAATAACTTTAAAGGGATACCGAAACCAGTGACGATTTTGAATAGAGCTGGCAAAAAAGTCCAAAGCCCAACAACCCATCCAACCCGTCCATTAATTTTAAAGGATGGGTTGGGTCAATTGGGTTATGGGTTTTATTGGGTTGGGTAAGAACAATCAAACTTATTCATTGGGCGGGTTGGATTTTTTATTTGGGTGCCCTAATACCCAACTTGTTTAAAAGTAATTCAAAATAATAAATATAAGATTTAATACACATATGCCCAACTATTTACATTTGGACATGTGTTAATAATTCACTGACCAATTTCTATTCAAAATTCGCATATATATGTTTGCGATCAATTTTTTTAATTTTTATTTAAAAGAAAAAATAAACTTGAAATAAAAACTCATGCTTATTTTACTTTTATAACAGTAGTTAAACTTGCTCAACTTCTATAATAATTTATAATACTTTTTAAGAGTATGTTGTTTTTCTCCTCTTTTTTTTCCTTTTTTTTTGTGGTAAAAATGTCAATAGTTCATGAATTCTCCTCTCATTTATTTCTTAAAAAGTTTGGAATTTTCCTTAATAATCTTTTGGGAACCAATACCAGTACTTTTTACAAGTATATAATATTTTCTGCATTATATTAGAACTGTGGTAATTCTAAAATATTAATATGACCATAGCATCAAGTATGATCCTAGATGATTCTAATTAATTAGGTGATGAATTATCTAACTGTATCAACTCAATAAAAAAATACCTTCTAATATATATTATATGTATATAGATCATGATATTAACTTCGAATCAATATAGTTGACTTGCAGATTCTATTTTGTTTTGATTAATTATGGCAACTTGGGCTAAAGTCCTTATATTCTATGTTTTGATTAATTTGAGTACAAAACGATAAAGACCAGTTCATGTAAATCCCGTTCCTAATATAGATGAACTAAGCATAAACTAGTGTGGCTTAAAAACATCTTTTCTCTCTTCATTTGAGTGTCTATTGAATCGTTGCTAATTAAAAAGCTGACTCCCTCAATTTATCTAGTTCACAGTGGTCAGGTAATTGGCGTTATTTTGCATCTTGTAATTCGAAGTTTGTCAACCAAGCTGCTAACAAAAATTAAAGCATGACAACATGCCAAAACTCTTGGATATCATTTGTTTAAGTATTTTTTTAAAAAATTTTTGTGGTAAAGGAAAAGTGGCTATGGGAAAGGGAAGGATCCAATGGAGACACGAGGGAACAAGAAGATAAACTAATGGAAGAGGCAAAATCAACAAAATTAATTGAATCAATGGGTAAAGTTAGGACTCAACTTGCAGAATCAACTTCGAATCAAAATTTTTGAGAATATAAGGACTAAAGTACAAACTTATTTTCTATAATTTCAAAATTATTATACAACAAATTATATGTCTCTTACTTGCATTTTCAAGTATAATATAATCTAGCATTCAATAATTTATATACATAGAATATTACAATTTACAATAAAACAGATATGAATAGTAAAAGTGTTAATAAGTTATGACAAACATAAGTTTCAATCAATTAGTAGTATTAAAAAAGTACAAAGTAAACAATTTTTTTAGCTAATCTATTTACATGTATAATTTATTATCTAAACTTCACAATACAAGCAATATAAAATATTATTCTATTTATGATGTGTTTCCAAGGAACTTAAGAAGTGAGTGTGTGTTTGTGTGTGTGAAAATACATTTATGTATGTGAAAATGTGTTTATATAGTGAAAAAAATCTTTTTTGTGTGTTAAAATGTATGTAAAAAAGTTTATGTATTAAACTATATTAATTAATTTGTTGGGTCATATTTGGGTCATGAGTTTGAGATAACCTAATATGACCCAACCCAAAAGCAACCCAATCTAAAGTTGGACAGGTTGGATATAACCCATTTAAGTGAAAACCCAATATTAACCCGCCCAAAATCCGTCCAACCCGCCCAATTGCCAGGTATACCTAGGATATATTAAAACATGTAATTTATGTTGCAATGGAAATTGACTAAGGGTCAGATAGAAAAAGCAACATAGGTGTGAATTTGTTTTCTCAATACCTACCAACTCTTTTATAATAGCCATTTCTACTCCCATTAATGGACAGAAGACTATTTTTTAATTACTTACGAAGTAAATTCGAATTATCCCTTCATTAGTTTATACTAATAACTTGCAATAAATCGATACTTATTGTTTCACTAGTTAATTATTTCTAACATTAACTTCTGTATGTTACACAACAGATGTCAAGATATATCAAATTCCCAACATTTCCTTTCCTTCTGATTTTCCAGTAATATATTCTTATCATTGCATAACAAATTGCTTCGAAATTTCATTTATAAAGAAATCATTACCATTAGCATACTTAAAATGTATTCTTACAAGTCATTAAATATACCAATGTAAATCTTATTTTTCTTCTGATAACTTATCAAAAACAAAGAGTTTTATAACCACCACATAATAAATTCAAGTTTATCTCCTTCTTAATAATTACATACTTGTCACTCTGGTTAATTCATACTTATCATTTGTTGTATTTATTTCTTCCTAATAAACTTAAGGGTTATTATCATTTTACCCCCTTAAACTATATCACTAATATCAGTTTACCCCCTAACGTTATCTTTTAGTCACTTTACCCCCATATGTAATTCAACTCAACATGTTAAGAAATTTTGGATAAAAATACCCTTTTATTTTATAGCATTACTACATTGTTATTATTACTTTATTCGTTTGGAATATAGTGATACAATCACTTTAGTTCCTAACATTATTTTCTAGGCATTTTACCTCATCATTAATCTAACTAGTATGAACAAAAATTTTAAATATATTTACCCTTTTTTATATATAATTAAAAATAAAAAAGTTGGAATGGTTATTCTTCCTTTTTTTCACTTTAAGAGATTGAAAAATATAAAAATAAAAGGATTTTCTCAAATTTCTTTTTTTTTTCACACTTATTAATACTAGGAAAAGAAAAACACATAGG